CCCCAAAACCCCAAAACCCCAAAACCCCAAAACCCCAATGTAGCCCACAGTGGTTGAATTGAGAAATTATTGATTAGACTGCTATACAATAATCACATTTGTAAAACTCATTGAAGTTTTATTTTGCTTTTCCCTGTTCTCTTGAGAAATTATTCTTTCGCTATAATTCTTTCTCTGTCTTTTTCTCTTAGACCCTCTCAATACTTTCTTAGGTCCTAGAGCTCGAGATTGGTTTGGTTGGTAAGGCTTAAAAGACAGCTTTCTGAAAAAGTTAGATGAAGTTTTATTCAATGAGGTGTATTCTGGTCTATTTCCATTCAAAATATGTGACTTGATGCTCTGATATTCCCCTCTCAACGCATCTGTTTGCATTGCTGATCTTTGGTTTACATTTGCAGTGGAAGGTCTCTCCCTACGTGGCTTAGAGTTATAGATCTTTGAACAATTTGACAGCAACTTATTCACATCGTTACTCATAGCGAAGGAGTTCTTCATCATGCTAGACTCATTCATAATCTTTGAATTATTTATTGAAGATTTTGCTGTTTCCTAAATGTTATTCTCTCAATTTACCCTTCGCTTATTCGGGCTTGGGTTGTAAATAGACTTAATGTTCGTGCTGATCTCCAACATTTTATCCTTGTAGTGACTATCCCGGATAGTTGAGTCTAGAATAGACAAATCATTGTTCTTGCTAGCTAATTTATCAGCATAAGCATCTTGTAACTTCTTGACGATCTTCATCTTGGATGTATCTAAAGATAACCCGCTAAGTTACTTCCAATGCTCAGCTTTGCACTCTGAGGACGCTTGCTTTTCCTGTTTTTAACCTTATTAGAGTAAGCATTTTGTTGGTTGTATGAAGTTGAGAACTCCTTTGATAGAGATTTATTGACTGCATTTCCTTCTCTTATTTCATCTATGCTACATAAAACAGTGGAAATCATACTCAGCTTGTATTCATCATCCATCATGTTTATGTCAAATTTCTTATCAAGCTTCACTGCTGAGTCAAGGTCAGCTTCTTGGATCATATCCTTAGTGATTTCATTATTAATACTTTGGTTGTTGAGAGCTATGTTTCTTTGGGATGCACCACAGAAGCCATTCTTATTAAAATACCTTCTAGAGCCTATATCTTGGTTATATGATCCAACTGAACCTTTATTCTTCCTCTCATTTGTGAAGAACCTCTTCTTCAATCCGAATGCGAGATTGGTAGATCTTTTAGAGCTTTTCCTGTCCTCCATGAGCCGGGACATTCTGTTGTGAATGACACTGGAGTCAAGGTTAGAAAAGGTCCTAAAATGTTCATTAGTATGCATACTTGGAGACAGAGTTCTTCTCTCGTTTAAGTCTCTTATCAATTTTCTTTAAAGATTTTCTGTTTTCTTCTATTAAAGGATGCCCATCTCCAAAGAACTTCTTGAGAACTTGGATTGATTTTAGGAACACAAGCTTGCTTTCTGCATATTGACCCAAGAATTCATACTGAGAGCCAACGTTAAAATAAGCAATGGCGAGAAGTGAGAAATATTCTTTGGACTTTTCATCCTGGATCTCTACTTCGATATCACCATCTTCCCAATCACCTCACAAACTGGTCAGGGCATCTACTGCTTTCTGTGAATAAGTGAGACTCTTCTTGTGCCTAAAGAATAATAAAGGATCTTACATCTGGCTTTCAGAGTATATTGCGCTGAGATTAATAAAAGTCAATGGGAGGTACTCCTAAACATAAATTAGACATCATTACAGATTGCTCTCCTTGCTTTGCATCTTTCTTTGCTAAATCCAGTGCTTTGGATAAGCATCTGAGGCCTTTCTTTGGACATCCTGTTTTCTTATACAAGCAACTGAGGTTATTATAAGTCAAGCATGTTAATTTCGGGAATTGTTTGCAATATGATGTACAAATCTTCACTAATTTTGAGAACATTATCTGGCTCTCCTCTAGCCTCGAAGTATTCACGCATTCCAGAGCGTATTTATTAAAATCATGGACAACTCTTTGAAGCAGCTGAGCATCCTCTTCCTTGATTTCCTCAAGTATTAAATTATTACTATTTTTGGTCGGCTTTTTAGACTTCTTATTTACGCACCCTCTTTTGATGTTTAGTTGTCTACAGATTACACTTTTCATACATTGTTCTGGGCTTCTAGCAAGGCAGAGGCATCCATAGCTGAGGTATAAGCTGTAGGAGTAACAATATTAGTTATTCTTGGGATACTTCCCTCAATTTTGTCCTTAGTGTCCTAGATACATCAATATAGAATTCCAAAAGTGCTTACCTCTGTTTTTGCTCTTCTTACTGAGCCTTTAAGTTGTAGCATATTGCTGTTATATCGCTTAAATCTTGCTTTCAACACTTTCTGATATCTTTTAGTACTATAGAATTTATGATCCTTACAGTTCAAGGCTTCTAGCATAAACTCCTTGCTCGAATAACCTATCTGCCTTCTTTAACTTATTGTCCATTTAAAAAATAAATTCAATTTAAATTTATGTTTGAGGGGTTTTGGGGTTTTGGGGTTTTGGGGTTTTGGGG